TAGAATGTGAATGAGTCTCCGGGCGGCTTAGGGGAGACAATGCACAACCTGGGCCCCGCCGGCAGCTGGATTTCGTAGCCTGTGTCTCGAAGGCGCCAGGGCTTTGTGCCTCGCCGGAGCCGGGAGAGGGAGGGCTCTACAAGGATCTGGGCACGCAGATGTCTGGCAACGCTGCCTGCAGGATGGAGCCGGAGGATCCGGCCCCCTCCGGGCCCCCTGAGGACCCCCCTGGGCTTTACGTGAAGAAGCGAGTGGAGCGGGCAAGTGGCTACCGCCTGGGCTGAGCTGGACTGGCCGGTGGATGCCTGGGGTGGGGGGTGCTGGGGAGGGAGTGGGGGGGTGCCGTGTGCCCTTGCAGAGGGATGCTAGGAGGGAACCCTTGGGGGGGGGCAGGGAGGGTATTGCCTGGGGAGCTGCATGCCATTACCAGCCGCAGCTGATCATCACTGGGTGCAAGAACAGACTCACAGAGCCCCTCTCGGGGGCCCCCTGCTCTGCCTTGATGCCCTCCAGGCTAGAGAGGGTCTGTGATCCCCCTGCTCTTCCTTCTGGCCTGGAAGAGCCCCCTACAGTAGCTGGATAGACCCAGGGTGCTGAATGAGCTGCCCACAGTCCAGATCCCTGGGCCCCCTACCTTATGGTGACCCCTTGGGTCAGCCCGGGGGGCAGGACTGGAGTGTGCTGGCCGGGAGAGCCGATCCATTCCTCTCTCTCTGGACCCCACCGGCTATGGGCCTTGCTGGGGTGGTGGTGGGACCCGGCTGAGCTGGTGGTGGGAGTTGGTTGCTGTGCAGTGGGGTGGGCTCTCAGGGGAGGGTTTTGCTCTGTGCACAGCCCCACGGAGGCAGCTGCTGGCTTGCTGTTCTGGACGCTGACCGCCACCGCGGGGGTTGCAATAAGCTTTGGCTTTTCGCCGTCGGGCATCCGGCTCGAGACCCGCTTCCAGCCCCAGAGGGATGATTTTGGGAGCCCTCTTTGTGCCGGCTGAGTTGACACCTTAACCCTAGTGGGCGGTTTGGCCGCCCCCCCCCCCCAATGGGCACAATTGGCAATTTTAGCTCTAGAAGCCTCAAGAGTTCAGTAGGTGCTGCAGAGCTGGGGCGGGGGG